CGACATCAAAAATAGAAGAATCATCGACGGGAAAACCAATCTTGCATCTCAGTCTTTTGTACAAGCAACCAATCTGCCCACAATAAGAAGCATAGATGTGCAACAACCGTATCACAAGATCCTCGAAGAATACCCTGGTATCACAAGAATAACTTCAATGAAATTAACACCGAAGAACGACGTTGAGCATTTCATCGACACCAATGGACCACCACTTCATTGTCGTGCACGTCCAATCGCACCACACCTATACGAGCAAGTTCGAAAGGAATTCGAAAACATGATTGAGCAAGGAATATGCCGTCCAAGCAAAAGCCCTTGGTCATCACCACTTCACATTGTACCGAAGAAGAACGGAGAATTACGAGTTTGTGGAGATTACAGAAGACTGAATTCTATTACCACTCCTGACCGATACCCAATACCGCGAGTCAGGGATTTCACTCATCAACTATCAGACAAGACTATATTCTCCACCATCGATCTCAACCGAGCTTACCAACAAATAAGAGTCCGCGATGAAGACATAGAGAAGACAGCAATAATTACCCCAATGGGATTATTCGAATTCCCAAGAATGATCCCAGGATTAAAGAACGGAGGTCAAACTTTCCAAAGATTCATACACGAAGTACTTCATGGACTGGATTTCGTTTTCGCATTTATTGATGATCTCCTTGTTGCAAGCCCTGATAAAGAAACGCACGAAACCCATCTACGCACCGTGCTACAGCGATTAGAAGACAACGGAATCACAATCAACCCTTCGAAATGCATATTTGGACAGCAAGAAGTTCAATTTCTTGGTTTCACCGTCAGCAAGGAAGGAATAAAACCGCCTGCCGAAAAAGTCAGAGCAATCATCGATTATGCAAAACCTAAAACTATCGAAGAGCTAAGGCGTTTTCTCGGGATGATAAATTTTTACAGAGAACACATACCTAAAGCCGCTGAAATCCAAGCACCACTTCACGCCTACCTTCACAACACGAAGAAAAAAGATAAAACGTCAATCGAATGGAACGATGAAGCCACGAAGGCATTTGAAGCTTGTAAAATTGCGATCCAAAATGCAGCTTTACTCGCTCACCCATCACACGAAGCAACCCTTGCTATCTTCAGCGACGCATCCGATCTCTCAGCAGGAGCAGTTCTCCAACAATACAGCAATGGGAAATGGCAACCACTTGGATATTTTTCGAAGAAGTTCTCCGATACTCAACGTAACTACAGTACATTCGACCGAGAGCTACTCGCTATTTACATGGCTATCAAGCACTTCAGAAAAACGTTCGAGGGTCGAAACCTGATCGTTTTTACCGACCACAAGCCATTAACATATGTACTTCCAAAGAAACCATCACTATCGGAAACACCACGAAGAGCAAGACAACTTATTTTCATAAGTGAATTCACGACCGACATACGTCACATCAGTGGAAAGGACAACATAGTTGCCGACGCACTCAGTCGCGTACCAATCGACAGTGTAACGTGCCCTACATCAATCGACTATCATAAGATCGCCGCAGCACAAGACAGAGATAGTGACAACATAAAACATCTATCGAAGCAAGGTAACTTGTCCATCAAGCAAGTTACAATGCCAATGACGCATCTACCTATATACTGTGAAGCCTCAACGACAACCATGCGACCATACATACCAGAAGAATGTCGTCGCGAAGTCTTCAATGCACTGCACAACATTAGTCATCCAGGTGTTAGAACAACAAGAAAACTCATCACTGAAAAATTCTTTTGGCCTGCAATGCAAGCGGATGTTGGCAACTGGGCGAAGCAATGCATTCAATGCCAAAAATGCAAAGTACAAAGGCATACATCAAGTAGTCTAGCTACATTTCCACCCACGGAGAGATTCGAACACTTGCACGTTGACATCGTTGGACCATTACCTACTTCACCGCAAGGACATCGTTATCTCGTAACAATGATCGACAGAACAACAAGATGGCCAGAAGCAATACCTACCGATGATACTTCAGCCGAATCCGTCGCGAAGATAATTTATGAAAATTGGATTACTCGTTTCGGATCACCTAAAACCATCACAACGGATCAAGGAAGGAATTTCGAAAGCAACCTATTCCTCAAACTTCTTCAAACTATAGGAATACAGAAGACGCGTACAACAGCATACCATCCTCAGTCAAACGGAATAATCGAACGATGGCATCGTACATTAAAGACTGCACTCAAAACTCGTTTATCTCAACATACAAAGTGGATTGATGAGCTACCTACAGTGCTACTCGGACTACGAGCAACACCGCGTGCAGACACTAGTCTTAGCGCCGCTCAGCTAACCTACGGCTGCAGCATAAGGCTGCCGTGTGACTTCTTCAGTTCAGCAGCGTCAAGCAAACAAGAAATGGATTACGATTTCGTAACTAAACTTCGAGAATCAATTAACAAAGCCTTATCGTTGAAATGCACCGAAATGCAATCACACAGAAATAATAAATCAGTATTCATTCACCAAGATTTGAAAACATGCAAGCAAGTTTTTGTAAGAAACGACGCAATGAAAAAACAATTTCAACCTACCTACGATGGACCGTATAAAGTATTAGAGAGAAATAGCAAGACTTTTAAACTACAAATACCCGGAAGGAAATCTACGATTATATCGATCGACCGCCTATATTATTAACGAGGATACTGCAGAGGATTCATCATCATCATCAAAACCACCAGCGAGGAAGCTTGAAACTTCATCATCTACATCAACCCAGTTGAAACCTATTTTAAAAACTACGAAATACGGGCGAGTCGTCAAGCCTCCGGTACGCTTTCGCTGGGGGGAGAGTGATGTAGCAGCCAGATTAATCAAACCGAAACGGGAATAAATAATATATACTCCGCTGCTACCATAACGCGGAAGGCGAGAATAAATAAAAAAACATTTTATTTCCTAATTATTCTTGGCTACTGAGATACTGCGGACTGTATATAGATAATTTGACGTTCTTATAAAGAAACAAGAAGCAGCCGCAAATATCATTCAGCGCCACACCGACTTCACACGACGCTATCGTCACGTATCCGTCGACCAATGGTGAGCCGTTTCTTCAACGCCGCAGTTCGTTTCCTCTTGCTGTTCCGGAGCTGTATTCCACACCGCCGCCGCCCGCCGACTACGCGTGCGCACCGATCTGCATGTCTTATATAGCCCGGTCCAGCGACGTAGCTTCGTGAACAACAAACAAGTCTCACGCCGGGAAACGAAACGTAGATAATTGTATATTTTAAATAGTTTTCATTGGTCATAAAATAAGCAATATAATTGGCTAGGCAAAATATTAATTGTTACCATTGGCAAATCAATAGTGAGCCAGCCATATAAATATAGGCAAGGTTGATGCAAAAGATATTCCATTCCGAATCCCATTCGACAGTACATTCATAAACATAAACAGTAGTTTCATTTCTCCACCTTAAAGAAAACCACTCGGAGTCTGTTAATAGTGGACAGTTCGTCTCCACTATTACAGGCTCATGTAGAGCCTTGTAGAACCTCCCGTGGAGCTCCTTCCACACGGCCTCCCTGTCAGAAATGCTATGTACTGCCGGGTCTCGCCATTGCTTGTTGGCTAAGGATAGAGGGGTAAGTCCTTTATCACAAAAATGACGTCCTTATAGAATGGATCATCCGATCTCACCAGGAAGTAATTACGGAGGCTGCACACTTCGCGATTATGCATGGTGAGCGCGCTCAAAAAGCCACGCCCACCATGCTTTCGCGGCAAGTACAGCCTCATTACCGACGATCTCGGATGATGCATCCTATGGGACGTCATAGTAGTGTGGACTTTTCTATCCAGGGCGTTAAGTTCAGTCTGAGTCCACCTGAGTATGCCAGAGGTATACATGAGGACAGGCATGACCCAACCGTTATATGCGTGTGTCTTATTCACACCAGACAAAGGCTGTTGAGCACTTTGGTCAAGCGTGCATAAAAGACGTCACAAACTGACTGTTTCATACCAGCCTCATCGATACCGATGTTCTGTGACACACCCAGGTATCGGTATCGGGTCGGTATCGGTGGTCCTTAAACTGATGGGCATAGATAAGTCTATGCCCTCAGAGTTAGCAACCCTTCCCCTTTCAACATGGAAGACCGCACATTTATCGGTCCCCAGCTCCATTCCAATAGAATTGCTAAATTAACAAGTGATGTTTAGCAATTCCACAAGGTGGGAGCGACTGGAGACGAATAACTTGAGGTCATCCATATAAAAAGGTGGGTCACTTTTGTACCTCCTTTCCGAAGCTGAAAACCCCTCCCGGAGCCCTCCAGTAACGTACTGAGAGGGTTCAAAGAGAGGCAGAATCAGATTGGACTCAGACTGCTGGAAGATACCCCTTCTTATCCTTATGTGGCTTTCCGCAGCCATCATCCGCTCGCCCAGGTGACAAAGGATCGTACTCCACTGCCCCATTATACATTGCTCGAGGAAGTCTCTAACTGTAGTTTCTTGTACAGCTCGAGGACTCTCTTTAGCCATGTATGGGGCAGGCGGTGGAGAAGTTCCGACGGTTGCGTTTCACCACTTTGCCAATGACCGCATCAATGAGAAGTGGTTCCTTGGTTCCACGACCACCGCCCCGACATCCATTTTGAGCGCGCGACATCACCTGATTTGAGTCCAGGGGACGAGTGATTCTCGCGCTCAAAATGGATGTTAGTGTCTTGTATATGGCCGGTAGACACGTGATGGGGCGGTTTTGTGGTATCCTGGTCTCTAGGAACTAAATGAGTGATCCTAGTAGTGAAGAGGCTCGGGAGCGACTTCTGGTTGAGAGCCTCTTGGAACTGTCGAGCACAGTGTGACACACCACAAACACCTTCATCACTAGTGATGCAGCCCTTTGAGTCCCGGACTTTTCCAGTTCGGGGCCCTACGAACCGCCTCGGCTACGTCATCCGGCGTTATAATGAAAGGGGTCCATGGGCGTTATACTCGCACACTGACTCGCCACAACTTCCGTCCAAGAGCCCTCGCTGTGGTTTACGAGCTCTGACCACAGGCCGCGCCAGAATGTTACAGTGTCGGCCTGATTCGGTGCTGGGCCCTTTCCACTTGCCATTGGTAGCTCCAATGATTCATAGAACCTCTTTTGATCACTCTGGAAGAGACGATTCTGGTTGAACCGAGTCCTCTCGGTATATCGCCGAATCCGTTTTCCCCAAGCAGCGATTCTCTGCTTCAGATCATCTATGCGCTCCGTCAGTTTTTGCATTATATCCGGCTGGGACAAACTAACATTTGTCCCAGCAAATGCCATCCTGACGGTGCGCACAATTCTTGGCCCGTTATTGCCTGATTTGAAGCATATCAATCTGCCGATGAGAGCTCTAGCCTTTGCGATACGCTCCTCAATTATTTTTCTCCATGCTGGGATAGCGCTACTTTGGCCAGTAGCGCATACAGCAGTGGAAACCTTGGCGCCTATGATACGGAAGACTGCCAGCGCGGCGCCAAAAGAATTGAGTCCGTATCGCAAAGGTCCCGGCTGGCGTCCAAATAGGTCACCAGCATTGGGTTCAGAGCCCTCACGACAGCCCGATTCCGCTTGTGAAAGTCGCGGTCGATTTTCGGGAGGCGTACTGCGCGTTTCCATAATCGCCTCTTCCAATGTACTCCTCATTTGCTCTATTTCTAGTTCCTGGGCGAATGTTCCATCATCATTTGAATCAGCCACCAATGGGGTATTCACGGCAGTATCCACGTGTGCGGGTTGTTCTGCAACTTGCGGCACCGCATCCTCAGCCGTAGCATTTTCATTTGATGAGGGAACAGCCTCACGCCGTAGCCGTTCGAGTTCGGCGTCATCAAATATATTTGAGCGCAAGATATACCGAACTCGGTCTGCCAGGTTTTGCTCGGTGACGGTTACAGATGGCTCCAGCTCAGCAAAAAGTCGATGCATCCTTGCCCGATACGCAAAACCTCCAATTTCTCCCCCTATCGCCCTATAATACGCCCGCAATGCGTTGCTATTCATTGAGATTGTCCAACGCATGCGGCGTATTCCACCAGTGGCGGGTGCCGATTGCTGGGCCCGCGAAGACCATGCCGCCACCAAGCCTGCTGGTGGGGATGATGGATGCGAGGGGCTATTAGGTGGTCGAGCAGCACCTCGCGCTCGGCTGGCGGTTCGCACTATTATTATGTGTGGGGTATCTATATAGTTTTCTCATCTAGTTGGGATGTATAAATATATAATTATAAACGAAAATGAAAGGATAAACATACATAAATATGAATAAAATAAAATAAATACAAAAATACATAAATAAATAAAAGCCCAACCAGATGGAAGCCCTCGGCAGGGGAGACCAAACGGCCAAGGGTTAGGAAGAAAGGGAAAGAAACCGGCGGACGATGCGGGCAGTATCAAGGAGCACCGCCTTCTGCATTTGAGCCCGGAGCGGTCCGTCACGGAGTTCCAGTCGCCTCAGATGACCAGAGAGGCTAACTGGGATTAGCCCATTCGCAGAGACGACTACAGGAATAATTTCGGCCGGCAGACCACCCCACATGTCCGTCACCTCGTGAGCCAGGTCCAGATATTTTGATTGCTTATCTGTTTCGGCTCTCACGAGGTTCTCGTCATACGGGATGGTAATATCGACCAAAAATATCCTTGACTGTGCCCGGTCCATCAGCACAATATCAGGCTTATTCGCAAGAATAGTCCTGTCTGTGATGATGGCCCGGTCCCAGTAGAGTCTGGCGCGGTCATTTTCGAGCACGGCTTCCGGCAAGTACTTGTAATACGGCAATTTCCGGTCCACGAGACCGTATTTCAGCGCGAGCTCCTGGTGTAGAATTCTGGCTACTAGGTTGTGCCTGTGCAAGTACTCAGAGTTAGAAAGCGCCGAACAACCGGAGATGACATGCCTAAGTGACTCCCCGGGATGGCGACAAGCTCGACAGACGTCGACGGTGCCATCCTTTAGGATGTATCTCCGATAGTTGTTGGTCTTAATAACCTGATCCTGTATTGCACAGACAAAACCCTCGGTTTCCCCCGAAGAGGTCACCGAAACGTAGCCAGTTGAGGGAGGCGACTGTATCTACGAAGGGCTCATGTAGAGCCTTGTAGTACCTCCCGTGGAGCTCCTTCTCCTTCCATACGGTCTCCCGGTCGGAATTGCTAAGCACTGCTGGGTCCTGCCATTGCTCGTTGGCTAAGGATAGAGGGGTAAGCCCTTTATCACTAGAAATGACGTCATTATAGAATGGATCATCCGATCTCGCCAAGAAGTACTGACGGAGACTGCACACTTCGCGATTATGCATGGTGAGCGCGCTCAGAAAGCCACGCCCACCATACTTTCGAGGCAAGTACAGCCTCATTACCGACGATCTCGGATGATGCATCCTATGGGACGTCATGGTAGTGCGGACTTTTCTATCCAGGGCGTTAAGCTCAGTCTGAGTCCACCTGAGTATGCCAAAGGTATACATGAGGACAGGCATGACCCAGCCGTTATATGCGTGTGTCTTATTCACACCGGACAAAAAGGCTGTTAAGCACTTTGGTCAAGCGTGCATAAAACACGTCGCAAACTGACTGTTTCATACCAGCCTCATCGATACCGATGTTCTGTGACATACCCAGGTATCGGTATGTTTCAGCCTCGGAAAGGGTCCTTAAGTTGACGGGCATAGACAAGTCTATGCCCTCAGAGTTAGCAACCCTTCCCCTTTCAACATGGAGGACCGCACACTTATCCGTCCCCAGCTCCATTCCAATGGAACTGCTAAATTCACAAGTGATGTTTAGCAGTTCCATAAGATACCGTTTCGTGGTTGGGTCATATGCACAAACGGACCTTTGCACCTACAATTTTGCCTAGGCACGGCGCTCACACCTCTTGGCAGGATGCTGACTGACTGCGCCGACGTAGCAGTTTTGTCACATAACTGTTACGTCAGCGGGCGATGGGGTCGTCACTTCCCTACGCCGTTCTATTCTATTATTATTATTATAATTACTTTCGTCGCGATTTCGTAGATATATCAGTTGATATTTTAGAGAAATAACTTGTTTCAACAATTTAACAAAAAAATGCTGTGGACGCAATAATTATTACATATGTAATTTCTCGTTTTAGTATAAATTAGATAACTTTATAGAGATTTTTTCGTGATTTTGGGATTTTTCCTGTTTAAATAAATAAATTCTAAATTTAAGATCCAACTGTTAAATCATAGATCAATAGTAGTGGAAAAGCATGTAGTTATTAACATAGTTTGAAGTTTTAAAATTGAAATCAATTCATCAATTTGGAACCTAGGTAGCGTAACCATACCCGCAAGTTTTTGACTGTGGCGGGTTCGATTCTTGTAACAATTGTTTGTAAGTTATTCCAAAATGACTTACAAATAATTGTTCCGGATCTGGTCTGGGTGACCAAGTGTGCAATTCACGTTTGTAAAAACACCTTCACAGCTTTACTTTCTTTTTCTTAAGTAATAGCTTTGCCATTTTGGCTGCACCACCGCTAACAATCAGCTGAGATAATCAAGCATTGACTTACAGTAGTAAAAAAAATTATAAAATGTAATAATTTAAAAATGTGAAATTAAGTATATAAATAATTATTTAAGAACCATTTAATGTGATGAATTAACAAGTGGTAAAATTTAAAAAAATTACAACCGACTTCAATATAAATAAAATGAGAACATCATCAATGTATTCGAAGTCAATTCAATAAGCATTACTAAGGATAACACAAAAACTACTGGTCAGATCATGATTAAATTTATATGGGACCTCCATGGGTTTTGAGAAGAACCAGCCGAAGAGTTGTAGTTGTTGAGAAGTTTTGAAGTCGGTTAAAAATAAAATGACAAAATGTACTTTTGTTTATAATATTTCTTAACTTCTGATTCGTGGAGGCATTTTACGATAATGGTATGGAGTTTAAAAATATTACTAAATGAAGTAAATTAATTCTTGATATGTGATGAGACTGACTTACAAATATTACTTCCTCTTCTATTTTTAATCGTCGTTCCAATTTCTCTTGTGAAATCTGACATGTTACAGGAGTTGGAGTTGTGATAGTGGCAGACGTTTGAGGTATATCTACTTCGGATGTGTCTACTTCCATTTTCATATCAACGGCTTTGTTTTCTTCACTATCCAGGTCTTCATTTTTGTTGTCTGTAGCTTTTTCACTTTTAACAATAATTTCGAGGGGATTAAAAGTCGTCTTATTGTCTTTCTTAAAAACACCAGAAGGACCTGGGGTCGATGATTCTTCGCATTGAAGCGATTTTTTTGCATCAACTGATGAAGTATTGTCGCCTGATTTGTTGAGACTTTCTTCAACTTGAGACCGACCATAAACTCTTGATACATTTGCTTGTCTATGGAGTGAAGGTTAGAATTCAATAAATGTTTTAGTTATATAGATAATAATGTTAGATTTCTTCAGGGTCATAATTTTAAATTATATCTACATCATATTAATGGTTAGCAATTCACCGATGCGGTCACTAGAAATTTTCTGGACGTGTTGTGGAATTTGCTGTCACCAGCAGTTTTCCTAGATACAAAATGAAAAGCCTTGCCTACCACTAGGGTAACTAATAAGAAAGACTATTGTTTTCTGAAATGCTGGCAATGTACCAGAATTCCTCTGATGTAATTTTTTCATAGTAGAGGGGTAAACGAGCATACGATTCATCTGATGTCAAGTGACTACCGCCGCCCATGAAAAACCGCAACACCAGGGGAATTGCAGGTGCATTGCTGGCCTTTTATAAAGAAGTAAGCTCTTTTTTTAAGGTCACTAAGTAGTATCGGTCTGGAAAAATAGCCGGTGGTAAACAATTCACAGTGGTGGACCGCTATGCATCCAGATGATGAGGATGGTATCGTGAATTTTTACGCGATGTGCGTTCGTGAAATTTGGCGGCTGAAATTAATCCGAACAACTCCTCAGAGCACTCCCCGTGGTAGATGCTATAGAAAATACAGATAGATGTAACATTCCTACGCAGCGCCAGTGAATCGAGCCGATCAGATAGAATTTGGTCGTCGACGATTCGAACCGCTCTGCGCTGGGTGCCGTCAAGTAGAAAGAGCTGGCGCTGGGGTGCCCCGGCCCAGAGATGAGAAATGTATTCCATGTGAGGCCGAACTTGCACTTTGTAAAGTTGCCAGCGATTTGCTGGCATGAAATACTGTCTCGCTTGGCTGAGCACGCCAAGTTTTTAGAGGCGAATTTAGCCTACCTTTCCAAGTGACCACGAACTACGATATGTCGACGCCGAAGATTTTAATGCCAGCTGAAGAAGCAAGGGGAGTGCCTTGAAACTGAATAAATACGACAAAGGGGTTATTTTCAGGGGTATATGCGCAAACTTGTGTCTTCTGGGGATTGAACTGGCCTAGATTTAGTCGCCACCAATCCGAGACTTTGTTCAACAAAGACTTGACTTCAGACACAAATTTGTCCCGGTACTTTTCTCGAGAAATATTATCACTGCCGGTGTATAAGGCATCAATCACCAGTGCTGCCGTCTCGATAGCAATGAATGTTACCGTTTTGCATCATATCATTGATATGCAAAAGAAACAGCGTTGGTGATAGCACGCAGCTTTGTGGAAGACCAGCGTTAATAAATAGGATTGTAATCGGAACGTGCACCGTCTACTACAACCTTGATGTTCCAATCAGCAAGGAATCTAGTTTCTCGGGAAGCCCATAGGAAGGGAGCTTCGAAATAAGCGCTTTGTGCCAGACCCGATCAAAGGCCTTCGATATGTCCAAACTAACGGCCAATGCATCCCCCTTGGACTTTACTGCCTCCGTTCATCTATGAGTCAGGTAGACCAGAAGATCACCAGCTGATCGACCACAACAAAACCGTATTGGCGGTCACTAATCAGCTGGTGATCCTCAAGGTACCTCATGCAGTTTATAATGGACTCCATTATTTTGGAGAACAAGGAAGTGATGGCGACAGGCTTGTAGTTGGACGGGTCTGAGCGGTCGCCTATTTTAGGGATCGAGTGAACCAAAGCTGTCTTCCATGAATTCGGGACTACGCCTTGGGAGTAGGAGTACCGGAAAAGACGCGTTAAAACTGGTGCCAACTCCGGAGCTTACGTCTTTAGCATAATTGGAGGGACTCCATAGGGTCCACTCGACTTGCTGACGTCCAGGGCGAGGAGTGCTTTGCGAACCGAGCGCTGTAAACCGCATATCCGGCATGGAGCACTAGAACCGCGGAATGGTCGGCGGTGTGTTCCCTCCGTCTTCGGGTGTCGAGTGGGGCGCAAAAAAAGAGCCTAACAGATCGGCTTTCTCTTTTGCGGCATGGTCCAGTGAGTCGTCCTCCCTGTGCAGAGATGGGAGATATGACTGACAAAAGTTCCCTTGGACAGCCTTAGCGAGAGACCAGAATGTACGAGTTCCCTTAGGAAGACGAACTAGCTTCTCGCCAATTCTACCAATGTACTAAGACCTTGCCTTGGCAATTATTGTTTTGAAGGACCTGGAGGTTGAATTATACTTCTTTTAAAGAGCGCTGGTGTTTACATCCCGAGGAGTTGATGCTTCAGCCCAGGCCCGGTAGCACTCCTGCTTATAGCATGATGCTATTTTACGGGAGCGACCAACCCATGGTTGAGATCTCCGATGGGATGCGACCTGCGATCACAGAGGATGTAATAAAAAGTTCCATACCCCGAAGTAGTACCACATCAATGACAGCGAACAACGCTATTCCTATCGGCCGACCTATGGTGGCAAAAACTGCGGCAGCCTACAGAATGCAATCGCGACGTTAGTGTAAGTGCTACCACACTTCGGACAAGACAATAGTCCGACGAGCCTAGAGAGGCGTCGACGGAAACCTCATATCCGTCCAGATGAGAGGTTAGCAGAGGGTCCAATAGGGAACGTGCATGATCCTCCACATCTGAAATCCACGTAGGCGAAGTAACCAGCTGTGTAAAATCATATGTCAAAGCAAAGTGATAAACAGATCACCCCGCATCGGTTAAACGTGAACTGAGCCATTCGGCGTGGTGGGCGTTATAATCCCCAGGGATCACGATCTCTGCGGATGGGATCTGCTGTAGTAAGGAATATGTAGTAGACATGGAACGAGTAGTGACTCGCCTAGATTGGGCCGAGTACTCGGCTTTAAAAAAAGCGGTAGTGGGCGGCGCGCGGTTATTTCCCTTATACAGAGTTAGGGATGAAACGATACGAGTAAATACCGAAAGAAAAGTACTTGAATCGGTACTCAATCAGTGTGACTGACCCACGGACACTGTTGATGAGTGATTACTGATTACTTGTCAAATAACTCATGTTCGAGAGATTGTTTTCGTTATATGCCGCGAAAATGACTGCTTTTAAAAATCGTTTTATCAGAAAATATTTAGAAAAATAATTGATCTTAGGAATCACATACAGTTTACAGTGAATGGCTTTTTTCAGAGGCGGGCTTTATATATGAAGCAAGAAGGAGCAACCTAGACCCCAAATAAGACCGAAGAACTAGTGTTTTTGCATCACACTCTTCCTCTCTTAAAATTTAAATGTTAGTAATAATAATTTATCTATTATAGATTCTTATGTACGTTCGCAATATTTCTGCTGTTTCTCATGTTCCTGATGTTTAAGTAAAAGTACTCGATACTCAGCCGTTAATCCGCCGAGTACCGAATCCAAACCGAGTACTCGTCCCATGTCTAATCTGTAGTCATTTGGCCGTGGTCGACGAGTCGGTCTGTTTCGGCATTACCGCTATAGGATCTATAGAGGTACCCATAGAGGCAAGAATGGTCGTTGCTGTCTACGCGCAGCCATAGGTTGGACAGGTCCGTACCTTCTAGACTTCCGAGGCGTGGAAAACAGATGTCCTCTCTGGCGTATACGCAAATTCCAGCCCGAGCACAAAGAAGTGTTCTAATTTGTATCCCGGGTACGAGAGATATTAAGTATTAGACGGAGAAGACACCTGGGTCTCGGTTAAAAAGAGCAAGGCCGGCTTCGCCGCCTCCAAATAGTTGTGGACAGCGTGACAGGTGTCGCCTTAGTCTTATTGCTCCACTTGCCCCGAACAGTTTTAGTCGCGACCGGAATTTCCCCCTCGCCCAGGATACGCGAGACAGCCTGAGCACCGACGCTCAGGAAGAGTAGGAAAGCGTGGTCGTGGATGCTCAGCGAGGGATTTTTCGTCAGCAGGGGCAGTACTAGATACGCAGGACTAGATAGGCCTTCTGGGGTAGTTTTTTATTTGATTTCGCTACCATGTTAAGAGGGGGGGGGGATTGAGATTCCGGACACCTGCACTTACCAAGCGAGAGGCAAAGGTAAACCTCTACTTCCCGCTGGTATTCTGTGAGGTCGTAGAATCACCCCGGTTCGAAGCGGCCCATCCATGTGACAGTAAAAGCAGCCGCGTAACTCTTAAAAACTGTTAAAAAAGTAAATATTCATAGGTGGCGACTATCGTTTATAGTCAGGTGAGCCGCAAGCTCCTTTTCCATAAATACGGTCACGTAGTTTTTGCTAGTTATGGAGATAACGACTAAACGTGAGAGCCATATAGAAGAGAGACGCAGAACTAGATAGGCCCTTCGCAATTTCTACATTTTGCATCATGACGAGTCTATACATATTGTCTTTATTACACATTTCAAGTTTTTTAAAGTGAAAACTTCTTTAGCGGCGTTGTACACTTTTTGTAATGGGTAAAAAATGTTAAACTCGCGTCAGGACACGTGACCCTGATCGAAAATGCGTAAGACGGATGGAGAGAAAGAGACAGCCGGCGCGGCGTAGGAGAGGAAGTATCCCCCTCTCTTTCTACGGAAAATGTATGCCTGCGCCTGCTGTGTCGTTTAGTTGTGTACGATAGCGCAATAAATAAATATTGTATTCTATCACATAAATGATAGTACTTTTATGCTCATATTTAAAGCAATTCGTGCAAAATTATTCCCTAACCATTCCAAAATATCAAAAATGCACAACGTTAATATTCAAGTTTTCACTTCTACCGGCACCCGGAGGGCAATCCGTCGTTTTTTTTTAATATGAGGAGGGCGAACGACCATGCGGCTCACCTGATGGTAAGTGACTACCGCCGCCTAGATGCCTTGCCGACCTTTGAAAAAAAAAAAGTAGTCTTTTTTCTCAAAGGTCCTATGCGCATCGGTCCGGAAAAAACGCTTCTACAAAGAAATTGTGCCAGGAAGAAAATTTTTTGTAAATTAACATGAAAAAAACATTGTTGGACCACCAATCATCCAGATGGTATTGATGGTATCTCGAGTTTTGTCGCAATGTGTGATGGTGAAATTGAGCGGCTGGAATTATTCCGAACAATTCCTCTAACCACTCCCTGTGGTAGATGTCATATATTACGCAAAGAGATGCAACATGCTTCCACCATCGGACAACCAGACATTCGGCCAGTCTCCACCCTTTCGTTGTTGACTTACCACGCATTCGAACCAAACGGTTTGCTGCGTCGTTCATCATGCGTACAGCAAAGGAGTGGAATAAGTTGCCAGCATCTGTCTTTCCATCCGATTACAGTGTGGATGTCTTCAAGGCAAGAGTGAAAAGGGTTTTGTTAAGTCAGTGCGCTTTACCATCTTAAGCTACATCACCACTTACCATCAGGTGGGATTGTAGCTAAATGCTGGCTTAGAAAAATTAAAAAAAAAATCTCTTCCTAGCGCCAGTGTGTCAAGCCAATCGGAAGAGATCGGTCGCCGACTATTTGCTTAGCTGTCAATTACTACAATGTGAGAAGAGTGTTAAGCTTTACATAAGGACTGACATCAAAGTATTAAAATTAAAACATCCCTCCAAAAAGCACATCTAAAATTCTTATGACTGTAGAGAAGAGCATCTAACAAATTTTATAAAAATCTTTAAAAAAACATTAATAATGTATAATATACATACACAGATTCTGTTTTATTCAATAATCTCAATATTGCTCTGCCTGTTATCAGTCCTAGCTGTCTTAATGACTTATCTTTCAGTGTGGATACACCGGTTACTTCCTGTCTCATGTACATAATAGTAGGATGTTCCAAAGATGACAACTCCGTAGGTGCCAAAGTTATAATTATATCATACAATGATGTGCTTGGAGGAAAAGTTCCTGTTCTTCTTTCACCTAAAATTTATGAGAGAATGATTATTATTCATAACAACTATAAATAATAATGTAACATTTTTCAATTTTCATTAAAGCTAAATTTCTAAACTTTAAATGCTATTTTAAAACTCTATGGAAACCATAGAGATCAGTCCAATAATAGCATTAATGCATAATAGTATTTGCAAAAAGTTTTACAAAACCTCACATTCGTTACAAAATCTGTTTCAGGTATTAAATTAAAAAGGTTTGTAAAAAAAAAATAGGTATATGTTTTAAGTATATTCTCCTCTGGTAGAATAGTTCACACCAGAGTAACGCACTCCCTTAAAAAGCCAATCACATCTGGTAGAGGAAATTGGCTGGGGTGACACCCTTTCCAATTCCCACTCTGTTATAAAATTGAGGTAAGATACGAACTTACAGTCCATATGGTAATAAGCGGCTATTGCAGTCCATGGAAACCTGCAGCCAACTTCAAACAAAGAAGGCCTGAGTTAAGCCTCTTAGCACCTCGTAGGGACGAACATAGAATACCTCACTAATACTGGATTTCTACACCCTTCTTACTAGAACATAGCAATGCAAGCACTGCATTTTCATGGCAGAAATAGTTAAGAGGGTAGCTACCCAGACGAACTTCTAGGCAGAAAAAGAGGCTTACCACCTAGTTTCCACCTGTCCTCCCAAATCCTCAACCTATATTACTATTTTAATTTATTACTTATTTTATTTTTAATATTATTACTATTATATAGTACTGCTTTTTCGCGGCAGAAATGGTTAAGAGGGTAACTACCCAGACGCCCTTCTAGGCAGAAAAAGAGGCTTACCACCTAGTTTCCACCCCTCCTCCCAAATCCTCAACCTCCTGTCAAGATGACTTATTTTGTTTCCAAAGTTCGGTTCTCAAAAGTGATTTTAAAAAGAAGAGAGGTAGGTAAATTGAGGGCGGTCATTCCCAACCCCCATCACCCTCTTTGTGTCGCAGGATACTAAAAAGCAAGACCCTATTCTCTATTTTCAACTTGTCCTCACACTTTAAAGTATTGAAGTTATATTATAATTTTTAATATTTAATGTACAAAATAACAACTAAATTTATTATTTATAAAAGAAAATGCTTTTGGCATATTTAAAAAAGTAGAAGTTAATTAATTTGTGGTTAATTTAGTTTCTGTATGTTTTGATATCACATACTAAATCCTCAAAGTTGACTGTAGAAAAGGGTTCAAATTCTGTGATAACTGACGGACCTATTAGCAGTGCAATTAATATTTAAGCTCATATTTTTGAAATGTCACTATGTTAAAGACAGAAATATTATTTTTAGGTAACCTATGACACTTACCATTATCTAACAATAATGCAATAGTGACATTAGATTCCACTCTTCTCTTTTCAGCTTCTACCATTTCCAGCATTGCTTTATTTGGCAAATTACAAAACCTTATAGTGGTTGTTAAATCCAGAACCTTGTTGTGATGTTTCAAATCATAATCTTCCGGCTGAAATCCTTGCTTGGCACAAACATCTTCTAAAACCTAAACATAATTTTAAAATTGAACTTAAATATATTCTTACTCTATTATTTTTTAAAGAATAAGGGTGACAAACAAGTACACAGTCTGCGTGATGGTAAGTGGTTGCTGTGGCCCATCTAATGGAATGCCTCATATCTAGTAAAATGGGTCTCCGGTTCCCTGCATGCACCATACACAGCAGTAAGGAGATGCAATTTTACGCTGTTATTCTATGAAAGCATGGTCCATCCCCGGTCGAGCAGACCCATTCGTGCTACAACTATAATATTAATATAGCTGCAGCATGGCTCTACCACATAAGAACTTCCTCTTATATTATTATTATATAGGGTGGGTGCACCAGTAACAAACCAATTAAGCAACATTTTGAAACAAATTTTGTTGATGTGACTCAATCATTGCAAAAATAAATCATCATACTCCTTATCTACCATATAATCATGTGGCTTATTCGGATTTTCTTAATAACTATTAAGCTTATTTTTATTTAAAAATGGATGTGACAAGTCGCAATGGGCAAAAAAAAAATTATTTTCGCTATGAGGCATTCTATGGGTGAGGCCTATGTTCAGCAATGGAGTTTCATAGACTATAATGCTTAATTATATTAATGCTGGCGTACCACAAGGCTGTTTGCTATCACCAACGCTGTTTCTTCTGCATATCAATGATATGTTGCAATCTGGTAATATTAATTGCTACGAGAATGACAGCACTGGTGATGCTCTGTACACCGGCCATGCAAATATTTGTCGGGAAAACGTCTCCAAGTACTGGGACAAACTTGTGTCTGAAGTCAAGTCTTTGTTGAACAAAGTCTCGGATTGTATTTCATGCCGGCACACCGCCTGCAACTTTACAGGACGCACGTTCGGCCTCACATGGAATACTGTTCCCATCTTTGTGTTGGGGCTTCCCAGTGCCAGCTGCTTCCACTTGACCACATCCAGCCCAGAGCTGCTTGAATTGTCGATGACTGAGTACTTTGCAATCGGCTTGATTCACTGGCGCTGCAGAGATGTTGCACGTCTTTGCATTTTCTTTCTCATCTACCACAGGGAGTGCTCTGAGGAATTGTTTGGATTAATCACACCCGCCAAATTTCATGAACACACTATGTGGCAAACTTCCTGATACCATCCACAACATCTGGATGCTTGGCGGTACACCACAGTATGTTTTACTAGGAGTTTTCTTCAGCATATGACCTCTCTTTGGAATAGTTTACCACCGGTGATTGATCCGGACCAACACGACCTAGGGACCTTCAAGAAAAGAGCTTACTCCTTTCTAAAAGGCCAGCAACACACCTGCAATTCCCCTGGTGTTGCAGTTGTTCATAGGTGGCAGTAGTCACTTACTGTGAACTGTTCAACTGGTGAACTGTATGTTCGTTTACCCCCTCTCCTAATTGTCCAAATTGTCCCCACTGTATTATTTCAAGCAATAATGATGATTCTTGTCCTTTCTTGTATTTTCGAATCTCTCTTTTAGCTTTTTAACCATAGCAATTAAACTAACTTACATGGCTGAACTTCTCTGAAGCTTGAGGATATATAATATTATTATTGATATTGCGTGACATTGATATTAAGTTTTGTCTCTTTTCTTTCCCCTAAATAAAAATGAAGAACAAAAACTAAATGTGATAGGGCTTAACATGTGTCTCTTATAACACTAAGAATGCCATTCTGCTATGCAAAAGCTTTTGGGCACATAATAACATGACCTGCTCATATATCACACATTAAAATAAACATATCTTAACACAGAGATTTTTGAATAAACACTAGTTTAATTTGTAGCAATTCATACTTGTGATTTGACTTTGTACTGACAGTTTATAGTTTATTCTATTGATGAAATAGTTATATTAACCACACTCATGTAGAAAACTCACACTAAGACTGAGAAGAGAGGCTACAGCAGTCTATGAACACCTGCAACCAACTTTAAACATAGTAAGCAATAAATGCTTTGTCATCTTTGGGGACCAATATAGAACGCCTCACAGCCCGTAATTTTAGTGGCTCTCTACCTTTCAGACTAGAACACAACAGTGCACGCACTGACGTATACGTATATACACAGTTAACGTATATACACAGTTAAACTTCTAGGCCGAAAAAAGTCCTACTACCCAGTAGCAACCTTCTGTTTTAGCTTGTTCTGTAAATAGGAAAAAACAAACCTGTAAAATACTGGTATCAGCTGTACAATGGACTTTTACTCTTCTTCCGTTTGGAGCAAGTACAACCATATCTCTTGACATCTTTTTCGTAAGCGTATCTATGTATATAAAGAGAACTCTGCCGGTGATTTCAATATTCAATTCAAAGCGAACGTAAATATTACCTACATTTCTATTACGACAGTGACAGAAAACTATGGTGGTGACAGTGACAGTGACAGTCAGTGACAGATCAGATTACTATTTATTATTTGGTGGTAGTCGATGAGATTAGAATTTTTTCCTATAGAGGCCGGTGAAGATCTTACACCATACGGCCTAGTTTGATGTCTATTATATTCATTAAATTCTTCACTCTTTACTAATGCATCACAATACAAAGTTTTTGGAAGATTTCGATGGAAGCTTAACCTAATATATAGTTGATGAAGATAGTATTTTAAGCCAGCTAAGATTGATAGAAGAGAGTATATGAGATTTAAATCACCTTCCAAGCACTTATGGCATCGATCCCACTGATAGTTCACATGTGAAGATATTAAATACATAAAATCGCCCAACTTAGACATATCAAAATCGACTTCAAACAGTTATTTAAATGATACAGGGGTAACAACGAGAGCTTATAATCTTACTCTCACCAAATGTTGTTAGTTGGAACTAAGGTAAACTAATCTGTTAAGTAGATGGTCACACAGTGTCATCATAAATGAAAAGTGGTGTTTTAATTATGAGTTTTTTTTTGGTTTCTAGTGTATATATAGTTCATTAGGACATAATAAAATTCCAACATATTTTTGGAACCTTTGGTTATTGGAAATTTTGAAAAGAATAAAATATCGTCACAGGAGTAAAGAAATCGTACCGTACAGAGGCAAAGCTTAATACAACCGCGCTATGACAGGTACACTGTAGTAGTAGTAGTAAGAGTATATAAAAGTACACACACAAGTGTAATAATAATCCTATATAATCAAATTTATTAATACAATAAAGAGAGTCTTAATTCATCATTCGTTTGTTTAACTCCTCTCCTAACATTCGCCCTACATAGCGACCCTGCCGAAGAAATTCGCGACGCGAATATGACACCCTCCGCCGTATTTGGAGTGGAACATTTTTTCTGTGTGCCTGATGAACTAAATCAAGCTATGGCGTTCTGTATATGCGACTGTGTATACGTGTTTAACAAAAAGTTAACGAAAAATAATATCCAAGATGGGCGGTAAATAGACTAAAGAAGAGACCGTAATTGTGCAAAACGAAGTGGGAAGCAATAAGGCAGGAGTTGAAGAATTGCAATTTCACCTGACTACTGTGCTGGTACTTCTACTGGAGTCCCTATATTGCTTGTATCGGACATATATGCGATGTCATATAAAGTGGATTAACACAGATATAAACAGAAATACCCTAAGAAGGTCTATTTTTCGGCAACCACAACCCCCCACAAATATGGAAGAGACAAGTCAATCAAGGGCGTATTATAAAGTATGACCGGCGCTGATCGAAGTTTAAAAGTGGCGTTTACGTGCATATAAAATGAGTAAAAAGTGCGTGTCTATTAATAGTGCGAAAAAGGGTATTGTGTTTATAAATCAACTACATTAATCTGGTACTCTAGCCTATATTACTGAACTTTATATTTTAAATTAAATCATGTATTCGTTGTACTGTCTTTAATCGTCACATAACCGTATTATTATTATATTAAATATTTCATGAAATTATTTATAGTATACTCTATTCTACGCATTGGTGGTAAGTTATGAATATTTCTTTAGAACAGTTATATGAGAAATTAAAAGAAGTGAGAACATATTTAATTAAAATTGGACTGAATGACTGATTTTTAGATACTAAACTTAAAGAGGCCAATGAAATATTTAGTGACTATTCTAAGTTGTTAATAAATTTTAATAGTAAAGGAAGGTAAAATTAAATCCACTGATATTCCATCTTATCAAACCTATTGTAAGAATTTTGAATCATTGTATCAGGATATTATAAAATTGTGTAAGCCCGAGTGTGTACAATCTGAATTGATCTGAAAATCCGAGCAATATGGATACTTTCGATTTGAAAACGGCTTTGACTTTATTACCTGTTATGTCAGATGACGAAACAAGTGTGAAACAATTAGTAGACAATATTCAGTATTATAATTCTTTGTTAACAAAACAGGAATGCAAAAAAGAATTTAATTAAATTCATATTAAAAAGTAGATTGTCTCAATCTGCTAAATTACGTCTTCAAGACGATTACTCTAATGTTGAAGACTTGGTTAGTGACATGCAGAAAGAGTTGTTGCCAAGAAAAGGAGCAGCAGCAATTCAAAATAAATTGCAAAAATTACGCCAAAATGATATGTCAATTGCTGATTATGGAAAACAAATAACAGAGTTATTTGTGGACCTTACGATATCGCAAGCCAACGTTAATACCGAATATTACAATATTTTGAAAACTGTTAATGAAAAACAAGCGATCAAGCAATTTTTCGATGGCTTACGAAATCGTCGAATCAGCACAATAATTTCTGCTAGAAATTACAGCTCTCTGAAAGATGCCATTCAAGCAGCTCAAGATGAAGAGACTTTATCATCATCGGCCGCGGGAGAGGTGATGGGTATGTCCAGTAAGAAATTTTATTATCCCAGGAATTTTCATCATAATTCTAGGTACGCGGCAACGGGCGTAATCGGCAAATGTTTTCACAGCGAGGACACTACCATGAAAACTCGCAGCGATCGAGTTCATGGAACCACTCGAACTCACGTGGCCAAGGACAGCGAGGACGATATAATCGAGGTACGTTTCGTAATTATTGCGGAAATCAAGGGATAAAAAGAAATATAGTCAATATAATTAATGAAACCAGGAATCAATTTTAAATGAACCCCAACTAGATAAGCTTTTTCGAGAATAAACAAAATCATTTAATTTTGGCTAGTAGTAATAGCAATTGTTTTATTCATTTACCAGTTTCATCGTGCAATAAAACTTATTCTTTCTTAGTCGACACGGGCGCATCTTTATCCGTCGTAACATATAAATATGCTATCGAATTAAGTGTTTCATTATATAAAGAGTTTTTTATTTAATTATAAACGGTCTAGGTGGCGAGGTGCAAACAATCGGATATGTTTATGTTCCATTAATGATTCATGGATCTGTTATTAATCACAAGTTCTTTGTTTTTAATTCGTTACCGATTTCGTCGCATGGAATTCTAGGTAGAGACTTTTTGAATAGATTTGGAGCATGTTTAGATTTCGAGAAAAATATTTTATCTTTGAAGTTAGGGTCAGGCCACACTTGTTTCTTGCCTTTCACTAGTAATTATAATATTAACGTATTGGAAATTCCCCCCAAGAAGTGAATCCATACATTATATTCAAATTGATATTAAAACCGATTGCATTATTTGTTCACAAGAATTTCAAGATGGCGTTTATTTGGCTAGCTCGATAGCGACACCAATTAGGGGAAAAATACCAATAAAAATATTAAATGTTACCGAAAAATCAGTCACATTGTCAGGAATAAATCCTGCAATTCATGATCTTAACGTTTATAATATTTGTAGTTTTGAGAAAAATTAGAATAATTCAAACCGAGTAAAACGATTACTTTCCTCATTAAAATTAAATGATTTAAATGACTTAGAAATTCAAAGTATTCAATATATTTGTGCAAAATATGTAGATGTTTTTTTTATTTAGAGGGCGATAAATTGACAACAACAGATATTTACACCCACAATATTTTTTTTGAAACCAAACGTTACTCCAGTGTTTCAAAACCATTGGAGAAGATAACCATTTTTTGTTTTATATGCCAAAAAATTCTACAAAAAATTATGAGAATAACTGTGTTTTTAAATTTTTTCTATCTTCAAAACTGACCGAGATATAAAGGCGCAAAGTTAACATTTTCGATCTAAGCCGCGGGCCGAGCGCGACATCGTTGATGACGTCACAAGTTCCATCTTCGTGCGAGCGACCCGACGCGCACTTAGAAAATCAAAACATTTACACGAATGTGCTGCCCGTCGCATGCGGATCTATCTATCTATTTTTAACAAGAAACATTATAGTAGAACATGAAACCATCTATTAAATATTGTGCTGTGCCTCAATGTAAAAATACGGCCACAAAAACCCCTGAAAAGTTGTTTTTTAATGTGCCTAGAAATCCTACCATCAGAAAAAAATGAACAAATGTTATGAGAAGAGCACATCCTTTAGGACCGAACACGGTAGCATTTTGTTGTGAGGATCATTTCGATGTAAGTATTCAAATAATAATAACCTTCACATGATAGGTCTTGGTTATTGCTAGTAAATGCTTTCTATTAGGCATGTAGGTACCTACTCGAGTCGCAGTGTTTAAGTAACTAACGATTCATTGAAACTTTCCACGCTTAATGATCATTATAATTTCAAGAAGGAACAATACCTAATACCTACATATTTAACTAAAACTACTTCAGTGTAAATAAACATCCAAACTTGGGTAAAGTACCTATGTAATGTAGATAAGTCAATGACCTGTCGTGAGTTCGTAAGTTTGGATACCTGATATAGATGTTTGCAGTAAATTTTAAAATGTTTATAATGCATATAAAGGTTGAAATATGGAATATGTTAACAAACGTTTTTATATTTTTACGATATTTCGAGCAAAAACTAAACACACACGCAGAGCTGTTCAACTTTTATACTTTGCGGGCCGCAAATAATGGAATAAGTTTGATTATGAAGTGGAGCACTTAAATTTTTTTTCGTGTTGTTGTATTTTTATGTATTACATAGTTGGTACATATTTTAAATATTGATGGAATACAAATTACGAGGTTCCTTATTTTTTATAGACTTTAAATAAGTTTGTATTTTGTTCTGGGTCGAAAACGATTTGGAAAACTACGTGAAGTACCTAGTTGGTGGTCCCCTCAAACTTAAAAAAGATGTTTTGCCTCACAAGTTTGCTTGTCAAAATCGGTGAGGATATTAGCCACTTAACGACTGTTACATACTTTGAAGCAATTTCTCACCTTTTGCATCAAAGTATACTTTGC